TATTATTTATGCTCTGCCTACTTCTAAAAACGATCGTGAATGGCTTACAATAAACGATCTCCATACATCTGACCAAATGGACATGAAAAGTCAGAATACTGAATTTATTAAAGAAGTCAGTCGGTCACTTTTCCTGAAATATGTACATTTTACAACTGCTCATTCTTGTTTGTTTTTACTCAACAACTTTTAAAATGGCCCTCATATCTCTTTGGTAATCTTTTTTTTTTGTTTGGTATCATAGGAGCAAGAAAGTTTAAACATTGATTTTAAACATTGATTATATTTTAAAGCTTTCAAATACTATAGTAAATTTGTCATTTTCTCCACAAAAACTTTTTGGTGTTTGCCATAGGACATGTGTGCTCACCAGAGAGAAACAGAAAGAGAAATTGAGAAATCATCCCACATGGAGATGACACATCACAATTCCTTCTCTTCCGGTTTCCTTTCAGAATTTTGGGCATGCATACATATGTGCCCTGTGTGATTTTCAAGCCACCAGATCTGGGACTCAGACTGTGGTTGGCCATGTGGGAGTCCAGCGACATAGCCATTATGCTAACTGCTGGTCCCCCCCTGTGTGTTTTTCAAGCCACCAGATCTGGGACTCAGACTGTGGTTGGCCATGTGGGAGTCCAGCACCCCAATCACCATACCACCAGCTGGCTTCTATAAAAACCTTTTAACATAAATCATTCTAAAAATGTAATAGTAATTTCCAACTTAAAGAAAATCGACTAACTTAAAAAACTCTGAAATATCTCTCTACACATTACATAATTACATTTTTATTTATCTTTAATATGTATATATGTGTAAAATTATTTTATTCTAAACTATTTATGAATATACTGTGAATATGACCCATTCATAAAAAACCTAGTGTGCATTTCTTGAAACAAAACAGTTCTCAAAATAAAGACTAACATGGATGCAGCACTGTCATGTAATCCACAGGCCTCTTTTAAATTTCAACCCTCTACCAATTACAGCTTTTGTGGGAAAAGATTCCTTCCATGATCACTCAATACAGTCCCTGTTATGCCCTGTAGGGCTCTAAGTGGTGCAGAGGTAAAACACGATGCTCCAGCAAGGCTAATCCACAAGGGAAGGGTCTGAGCTACAGTCTAAGATCTCCCTGAGCATGCTAGTCGTGCGTATGCCCATGATCCGTGGCAGCCTGAGGCTGGGGATGGACTGTGATGCTGACACCCTTTTGTGGATATTGTCTTTCTGCCTCCCTGTCTCTCACTGTTTTTCTTGATTTTTTTTTTCTCATGGAGAAACAAAATAAACAAACATACATAAGTCATGCTGCTTAGTTTTCTTTAGTCTAGTAGAGTTCTTCATTCTTTTCTGGTCTATCTTAAATTCGATGCTTTCTAAAAAATACAAGCCAAAATTTGTGTGTGTGTGTCTGTGTGTCTGTGTGTGTGTAATATTTTTCAATTTGGGTTTGTCTGATGCTTTTCTTGGTTAGATTGGCCTCTGCATGTGGAGTAAAACTATGAAAATGTGACACTGTTCTCCCTAGGATGCCTTACCTGCTGGCTGGCTCTCAGAGCTGGGAGCAGCTGGCTTGAACAGACTTGCAGGAGCAGCTGATTCAGGGAATCACCTCCCAATCTTACACTCGGTGGCATCGTGTAGGCAGCTTGAAGTGAGCCATAGTGGGAGTACACACACCACAGCAACTGCAGCGTGACAGCAAATGAAGCTTGTTTGCTTGCTCGTGTGCTTTTTTTCCCTCTCTCTCTTTCTTTGAGCCTGTTTCTAAGGATACCACTGCATACCTTATCCTATTATTGATCATCTCAATATTAATCACTCAGTAAAGCAGGTGTCTGCCAGACTTTTTCACTCTGAAGTTACTACCTTTTATTCCTTTGAAATGTTATGGATTGGGTGGAGACATGCACTGAGGCTATGAATGTCCTGCTCCTCATCAGCATTTTACCCCACTTTTGTTGCAGCTGAACGAATTAATATTATTATAATGGTTGCCAAAGGATGAGTTTCTAATTCCAGTAGCCCTCTGTATTTATTAACTGGAATTCTTTAAAGGGTCTTCAAAAGTTTAAAGAAATGCATATTATAAAAAAAAAAGTTACACATGGATTTCAAAATCCACTGTACCAAAATAAACTTGTACTTCAATTAAATTTTGAAAAATTTTAGAAGTTCCTTTATATAATGAGTGAAGGCTCTCTCTCATTCATTTTATTCATTCATTTATCTGTTTAGGTCAGTATGGATTTGTAGATTTCCATTTTATATAAAATGGCATATTTTGTTATTTTCCTACTACAAACTTGAAGCTAGCATTTTCTCAAGAAATGTTGGTTCCTTTAAGGGCAGAGTGGTATTTATAGTGATGTTTAAAAAAATAAGATTTGAGTACTAATTGCGTTCAATGTATTTATTAACTGGAATTCTTTAAAGGGTCTTCAAAAGTTTAAAGAAATGCATATTATAAAAAAAAAAGTTACACATGGATTTCAAAATCCACTGTACCAAAATAAACTTGTACTTCAATTAAATTTTGAAAAATTTTAGAAGTTCCTTTATATAATGAGTGAAGGCTCTCTCTCATTCATTTTATTCATTCATTTATCTGTTTAGGTCAGTATGGATTTGTAGATTTCCATTTTATATAAAATGGCATATTTTGTTATTTTCCTACTACAAACTTGAAGCTAGCATTTTCTCAAGAAATGTTGGTTCCTTTAAGGGCAGAGTGGTATTTATAGTGATGTTTAAAAAAATAAGATTTGAGTACTAATTGCGTTCAATGCTACTGGCTGCTATTGTTTTATACTTTTCAGAAAAAAGAGGTTAGAAATATAGTATATATGTGTATATACTTTGACACAGGAATTTTTATTTCTTTTTCTCTCATATATAAATGAGTGTGTGTGTATTTGTATATAGGTACATGTATATATATGTACATATATATGTATATGTACATATATATATATATATATATGAAAGTGTATGTGGGTATGTAAATGTATATGTGTGTATATATATACATACCACAAATTCACACCAATATCTCTAATTAAAACAAATAAGTTTAGGGGCCAACAGATGGCATAGCATTTATGTCACTGGACTCCCACATGACTGACCATAGTTCTAGTCCTGGGCCTGGAGACTTCAAACTCATGCCTTGTGTGTGTGTGTGCCCACCATTCCAGGAGGAGAACTGAGGAGAAGAGATTGTGGCATGGCCATTCCCACTGGGGGGGTTGATTTATCACTTTGTATCTCTCTCTGCTCTCCAGGGAATGCACACACCTTATACAAAAAATCTCTCCTCAAAAAGTTAAGTTTACATGGGAAGGTACAGAGAGAGAGAGACATACAGGTACCGCAACCTGGCCCCACAGCATGACTTACTCCCAGCCTCAGCTGGCCTGGACATGGGCGTGTATGTTTGTACCCAGCATAATCAAGGTAGTCCAGAGATTCAGACCCAAAACTTTACCAGTGGGTCCAATCACTACCGCTATACCTCTGCCCAACTCCAAATAGCTCTAATTTAAACACAACACAACTGAGCCTATTCTAGCCTTCCTCATTTTCACACTTTTCTTTTTTTCTTTTTTTTGAAAGGTTACTGCTATAGGGCACATAAGCTTGCCAGAAAGACAAAGAGAGACAGAGAGATAGAAAGCGAGAAATCACCCCCTGGGGAGATGGCCAAGTCGCACTCCCTTCTCCTCCATTCTCCTCTCGGGATCTTGGGCATGCACACACATGCACTTGGTGTCAACTCCATGGGAGTTCAGTGACATAGGCATTACGCTAACTGCTGGTCCCCTCATTTCCATTCTTTGAACTCCTTTCTTAAAGATATTTAAACCTGGTTCACATAACCCTCAATATATTTGATTATGTATTAGTTCCCAAGTGTGTATCCAAATTCCAGTCTCACTGGGAACGTCTTCAGTCCCCAACCTCACCACCTCAGCTGCGTGCCTTCTTTCTTAGATCCTAACTATCTCCTCCAAAACATATAAGAAGATGTGATGGCTGATATGGAATCTTGAAATTCATTCTGCCTCTCACAAAATCAACTCAAACTGAGACCAAATCTTGTGCCCACAGAAACACTCATTCTTCCAACTTTGGATGCCTTTAGTCACTCGCTTCAGAGTGACTAAAGAGAAGAGACATAACAGAAGGAAAATGAAATCCTCCTTTTGGTTTGAATCCTGGACCTGGCAGTTTGGAAATCACACTGGGCGTGTGTGCATGTGTGCCTAAAATCTTAGGAAGAGAATGGAGAAAAAAGGATTGCTACATGGCTATCCATTCTGGGGGTGATTTCTCACTTTCCCTCTCACTGTCTCTCTCTGGTAAGTGCATATGCCCTTTGGCAAAAGCCTTAGAAAAATGATGTCCTACTTTTAAACTTGAACAAATGCCTTAGAGCTCTCGAAGTAGAGACTGGCTTTCAGTAATCTATGTGAGTAAGTTTATGAGGCCTGTAGCCAATGTTTGCCTTTGTATTTCTTTCACTCTTAAGACCTTGGGACTTACAGGGATAAAGGGAGTTAGAAACTGAGAGGAATAGAGAACTCCTAATGAAGTGGGCCCCAAAATACTTGCCCCAGAAGTTGCAAGGGCATGATGAAAGCCCACCTTGGATACGTGGTCTCAGCCAAAATACAGGAAAGGAGAGAGATAGACCATAACTGTCAGCCTTATGACCTGCCGTGCCTGAAAGTTGTACTATGGGCACTTTCAGATTTGACCCTCCTGCTCACCGAGAAGACAGCCTGCTTTTGCTTTTTTTTTTTTTTTCTCTCTCATCCTTTTTTTTTGGTGGTCTTAGTATAAGACTAAGACTGTCAACACCAGAGAAACTAGTTTGGAAATAGATGATTTTTATAGAAAAATGTCAACATTGAATGCTGTTGTCTGCCTTACTTTTTGGTGTTTGTGCATTCTGAGTCACAAAGATGCGTACATTGGCGTCATCTTACCCGAGAAACTCCCCAGTCTAGGTGCCGTCACGTCCCCACCATCGTGGATCTCAAGGGAGTCCCAGTTCTGCTCCGTGGCGAAACTGATCACTTGAATCTACCAAACCATAACATCAAATTAAGATTTATTTTTGGTTGAATGAAATAAGTCTAATCAGATGGTCTGATTAATCAATTAGCCTAATCATGATATGTATATATTGACAAAATGGACAGTCAAAAATTTCTACAAATGATACTTTGATAGTGTTTATCCTAAAAATCAATGGTTATATTCCAAATATGGAAACGTTTTGTCTGAATGGTAAAAAAAAAAAAAAATAGATTATGTACTATGTATCTACAATAGCCAATACAAAGGGAAAAGAAAGAGACGGGGAAAGAGAGAGGAAGAAAAAAAGGCAGAAGAGAGGGTGAAAAAAAGGAAGAAAGGTATGTAGAAAGGAAAGGAGGAGAGAAGGAAGGAAGGAAGGCAGGCAGGAAGGAAGGTAGGAAGGAAAAAAAAAAAGGAAGGAAGGAGGAAGGAAAAAAGCCCATAAGCCCCAGCTCAGAACTGTCTGTAGATTCTGGCCTTTAATGACTTACCTGGATCCCTGACCCCTCTGTAACTATGATCTTCCATATACAATTGAGGTTGTTACCATATGGTTCAGGGTAGCCAGGGGACAGAATTGTACCTCTCCTCTGAGTGAAATTGCCACTGCAGGGGACTAAAAGACAGAACCACATTTAACAAAAATCAAGTGACAAAAGGACAGCATTAATTTTTAATTTAGTGTTTTTCTTTTTTTCTTCTGTGTAAAGAGAAGGTAGAGACACTTACATGTACTGTGATATTTTACATGATATTTTTAGTCAGGTAAATTGAATCTATTGTCTTTTAAATGACCAATTCCATTGATTACTATATAAACCTGCTAAGTTAAACATTTTGAGTCTATAAATTAATCTTTTTACACTCTCTAGTAAGAGATTGTGCCTAACAGTGGCATCTCTGAAGTGCATTCTGTTTAGAATGACTTATCTGCTGTAATTTAAGGACCTTTACAGAAAATTCTCTTCTACTTGCCAACAATGCCGCTCCAGATGATATTAACGGGATTTATGAGCAAGTTCAGCGAGAGAAAAGATGCTTAGACTATGCAAATGAATTCAAGTGCTAATCATGACTGCACTGGAGTTTTCTGCACAAAATGAAGCAAATAAACTATAACTAACAATGCCATTGTTATTCAGACTGCATCAACCTATTACTTTTCCAACATTCATCAGCACAAATTTATTAAAAGGCTATCATACAAGTAATACAGTAAGCCAACATTATAAAAATTTTCCCCAAATGAAATTATGGTGTATATCCACAACTTTAGAGATGATGGCATACTTAAATATTACAAAGGAAAACATGCTTTATCCTTATTAATCTAATAAGTTGTTTCATGAAACAATAATTTTTAGGATTTGGCTGCTACTCAATTATTTCCAATAAAATAAATGGCTCTTTGAAGAGAGTATGGGTGTGATTGATTTATTTAGAAGAGACAGAAGTATTGAAAAGCAACTCTTTTTTTTTTTTTTTTTTTTAGGTTTTTATCACAGGGCATGTGCTCTTGCTAGAGAGAGACAGTGAGAGAGAAAGTGAGAAATCACTTTCTCTGGGGGGATAGCCATGCTGCAATTCATTCTCCTTCATTCTCCTAGGATTTAGGATATGCATGTGCCCATGCCTGGAATGGTTTTCAAGCTTCCAGGTCTGGGAGTCAAACTCTAGTTGGCAATGGGGGGAGTCCAGAGCCTTAACCACCATGCCGCCTGTTGGCCCTGAAAAGCAACTCTTTAACACTGCTGAGAAGTTCCAGTTGATAGCCCCATGCTCATTATCACGCTTATGGACACCACTCACCTATGCAGCTTGGGATTGTGTCGTTCCACTGAGCTAAAGCATTAGGCACAGACTGGCAGCGGATAGCTGTGGAACCCTGGAGCAGGTATCCGGGGTTACACTCAAATCGCACAATTGAGCCTGCAGAAAACTCAGAACCAATTCTCCTTCCGTATCTGGGCTCGGGGACAGAACTGCACTGGGTGTCACTGGTACGAGGAACAGCTAGAGGGAAAACACACAACGTGACCATTCCATTACCATAAAGAAGCCAAGAAAATGTCTTGAAAATAGATTGAAGATAGACTCTAACAAGCGCTGATGTTGATGTAGAAATTAATACTGCCTTTAACAGTCTAAGCGATGATTTGAAGAGCACTTTCACATCTACACTTGATCTTCATATTAACCCTGAGGACCACCTCAGAGTTCTCATTTTAGATGAGGAAAACAGCATAAGGAGAATTAGTGTTGTATGAGGACTGACTGATATTCAGGTCATTGAAATCAATGAAGCCCCCAAATCATTGTGCTAGTGATAATGAGATGACTAAAAACTTGTACTTAGAGTCTAAGTTCCTCAAGGAACTTAGAGTCTAGTGACAAAAGTCATTACATAAGGATTTATGATAATACAGTCACTGCAATATGTAATAAAATTAAAAATAGAACTACTATATGACCCAGCAAACTCACTTCTGGATATTTCTCCAGAAGAACTGAAGTCAGGATCTTGAAGAAATATTAGGTTATCAGGAAAGTCATGATGTATTTTCCTATGCAAAAAAATGTGTCATGATTCTCCTGATGACCGAACACTGGCGCTGCCATGTTCATTACAGCATTATTCACAATAGCCAGGACTTGGAAACAACTTAAGAGTGTATTAAGAGATGAACGGATACAGAAAATGTGATTCCATTCTGTATAATGGAATTAGTGTATAATGGGATAGTATTCAGTCTTTATAAAGGAGTAGATCCTGTCAAGTCGAACAGCATGGAAGAACTTTAAAGACATGATGCTAAGTGAAACAACAGAAGGGCAAACACTACATGATTCCACTTCTAGGAAGGCAACCAAAATAACTGAATTTATAAACACAGAGACTACAATTGTTACCAGAGGCTAAGAGGAGGACAGAGGAGAGTTGCTACTCAATAGGTATTAGGTTTCAGTTACATAAAATAACTACTACACAACATTGTGACTATAGTTAATAATTTTGTACTATGTACTTAAAAGTTCACTGAAATGGAAGTTCTGATGTGTTACTACAGTGCAAAAAAAAAAGAAAAGATAGCAAATGTGCTATGGGAAACATAGAATTAAATTACTTATTTTATGTGGAAGGACATGGTAGGGATGAGATGGGAAAGGTAGATTGCATTCCAACACTGACAACAGAGTTTATAATAAAGTTCACCCCATTAACCTGATTCCAGGGTCTTCTCTTTAGACCAGTGGAGTGGGGTGAGGGGACAGCAAACTTCCCAAGCTAGCCATTCAATATTTAGTGAGAAGATGTGTAGGTTAAGAAAGCATGTCTAACAGGAGACTAAGCTTTGGAAATGAAAACAAAATATCAAGGAGCAAAGAGCAAAGGTCAATGCACTATTTCAGCTGGTGACTATAACATTCTCCCTAAACATGTGGGGAAGCATAAGAACAACAGACTGACATCTGTCACCTGGTGGCTTCCTGGCACTATGAATGAGGTGGCATGGTTCTATTGACCATGAGCAATCCGTGAGACCACTGGGTATTTGTGCCTGATGACAAACAGTACCACTGACACTATGCAGACCACAGAAGACCTTTAATTCTTTCCTTTTTTTGTTAAGTGCCGGAGGGTGCATGTATATGCCAAAGAGGAAAGGAGAGAGAGAGAGAGAGGGAGAGAGAGAGAGAGCAGGGGGGAGGGGGAGAGAGAGGGAGGGGGAGAGAGAGAGAGAGAGAGAGAGAGAGAGAGAGAGAAAGAAAGTACCCCCAGTGTGGTCTGCTCACACTACAAGCCTTTTTCTTCCAATTCCCCATCCTATCAGCTTCCTGGGCAAGTGCATGTACGCATGTCAAGTTGTACAAGCTAGTGAGGCTGAGACTCGAATTCCGGTCAGTGATGTAGAATCTGACTTCCTCTGTGCCATGCTTCACCACTGTACTACAGGACCCGCCCCTCTCTCCTGATTAACATGAGTGACAGTTCCTTACTAATTACAATTTCAGTCTCACTCTGTCTAGTTTACCTCCTAGATGAGAATTAAAATGTCCAATAACTTAATGCTCCTCCCACTCAGCACCCTTTCCAAAACAAAATCACTCTATCTTCAAGCCTCCCCTGAATTACCTAGCTAGTCAAACCCTATCACAAGCTTTTCCTAGCTCTCTCTGAGACCTTCCTAGGCTGTCCATGATATCCGATCTTCCTCGGTGCACAAAGTAATAGCCCAGGTTCCTGGGATGACAGATGTGCCTTACAGTGTTTGGATTCAGGGTACTAACAAGTGAATCTAAATGCCATATGAGAGGTGAGATATATACTTAGATTATATACCAGAAATGACCACCTACGAGAGATTCTCCTGTTTATCCAAAGGGCATAAGATCCAGTTAAGAAAAAAATAGTTCAATTGGCAAAGAAGTCTGTCACACCAAACAAACTCTTTGAAAATAGTTATGCACTTTGAAATTCACATGTTTTGGTTTTATCCTCAGCAGTTAAAAGTCAGTATGTGGGTCCTGTCCCCAGTACCCCATTCCTCTCAATTCTTGCATCTCTTCATTCAAAAGCACAGCCTTTTGAGAGGATGTGCTCATGGACTCATTTTCTTTAAAAATAATCCTCTGTCTTCACCTTGGTTTTCCTAATACACTAGACTCATTTTTTTTTCTCATTGAATCGGAACAATGACAGACACTATTTTGGTAACTGCAGCTAAGGAAACAATTCTGAGAATGGAGGTCCAAAGATTACATTGATTTAACTACATTTCAATTCAGTGTTGAAATATTTTCTATCAGAAAGCAGACTCAGTAAAATTATACACCATGAAACATCAAAAGTTGAAAAAAAAATCAGTAATATGTCTGAACAAATCTCCCTGTAACTAAAAGCAGAATATAGAATAACTATAATATTTAACTATAATAAAATAGTTTAAAGTTATTTTGATTATATTTGTATGTCTGAATATTCTGTTATATTTGAATAATGACATTTTAAAAAGATATCCGATATAGGCTTCCATAGTCATCTCAAAGATTTTTTACAACAATGGAGAAATATCTTCAATGGTAATTTTTCTACTTATGGTGAATTACTTCAAAAGTATTTGCTATTTGTGGCAAAAGTCCCACTTATCTCAGAGGATTCAAGTATAGCATCTTCTCCTTCTATATTTCTAGGGTGTAATTGTCATTTCAAGTTTTAAAGATAGAAGGAAAACACAGACATGGGTCATTTGTACACAAATCACTATTGAAACTTTTTTCTTGAACTTTGTAGTTGTCTATTTTCAAGAGAAATAACAATAAATGAATAACACTTGCATTTGGATAAAATTATGGACAATGTATTTCAAAAGAAAAAGATTGGAAAGCAAAGACATCAGTTTTAAGTATCTGAGAAACTGGAATAGAAAGTTACAAAATTGAGACGTAATGACTGAGGGGGGAGAAATCAAACAATGGCCTGTAATTTTTCCTTCTCTGTCAATCCTGTGGTTTTTTGCACCCATCTGGACATTTCAGGTAGCATTAGAAAGAAATTTCATTCTCTATTATAATTAGTCTCTATATTTTAGTAAATGTTTCACACTGCTATGAAAAAAATTGAAATCAGTACAGTGTAAAACTAAGATGGGAACAAGATCATTTTAGAATAGATGGTGATAAACAATCATGAGTGACTTATCAGGCCAGAAGATTGTGTTGTTTCAGAGGTTGATGTTCTTCTTGGGGGTTTTTATAATCCTGAAAGTGGGCAGTACTGTAAATGTGTGCACATCTTTCAGGGAAAACACAAGAAATATTAATGTGCTAGATTCATTAATCACTCTACATACCACAAATGCTCTAAACTATAGGGATAGGCATGCAGTTCTTTTACTGCACCTCTGTCAGAGTAGCTGTAATAAAAATAACAACATTAATAATAAATCTGAATATATGTAGAGATAACTTAGAATATTTAAATGAGTCATTTTCCCTTTTATTTAGTGACTGCAGGCATTTTCTATTTCTCAAAACCATTCCCCCATCATGGCTGATAAATCTGATTCAACAAGCTATTACTAGCCAATGAATTCAAACATATATCATTGAATTAAAAACAAAATTTTATGCGCAATCTTCTTTGTAAGCAGTATGCATTTTATAAGCTCTTGAAACAAAACATGAGTTTCTTAGATGTGGAGGAGTGAGCCTTATAACTCCTACCACCTAAAAAGATAAGCAGCCTGGAGGAAAGGCAACAGAAACATGTATTTGCATCCCTAGGCTGGACTTCAAGAAAAGAAATTCTATGGGCACTCTTCCCACCCAAATTTGAAAAGGTATTTTCATGTTTCTAGCTCTGTTTGTTTATTTATTTTATTTTTTACATTTAAGCACTGTGTATTATTAAAGCATACTACATGAATTTCCCCATCATGAATACATTGCATATCAATCCAGTCAAAGATAGTATACATTGTAATCAACACATTTGTTCCCATTTTGGGGACCCTTAAAGGTTTTGCTTCTTTCTTCTTCCTCTCGATTCCTTCCCTCTCACCTTCTCCCAGTTCCCACTCCCCCTACACACACTGCCTCCAGTATAATCATTGCTCTCCTTGCTTTTATACCTTTCAATCATTCAGTTTCTGCCATAGAGTGCCATCATTTGCTATATATTGTACAGGCAATAATCCCAAAAATATACCAGTGGGATTGCATCAGATTAAAAAGCTACTTCAGGGAACCAGCAGTTAGCGTAATGGCTATGTTGCTGGACTCCCATGTAGTCGACCGCGGTTCGTGTCCTGGACCCGGTGGCTTAAAACTCACGCTGGGTGCGTGTGTGTGCATACCCAAGATCCCGAGAGGAGAACGGACGAGAAGGGATTGTGGCGTGACCATCCTCCCTGGAGGGTGATTTCTCGCTTTCTGTCTCTATGTCTCTCTCTGTCTCTCTGGTGAGCGCACGCGCCCTATAGCGAAACCTCCCCTCCCCCCCAAAAAAAAGC